AGATATTTAAGTGACTAATATATTATAACACTCACACACATTCAAACACACATTACGTACATACACATGCGTACACACATATACAACGATATACATTATTATAATACAAAACGCGAAAGGTATATATTAAATTAATATTATTTTATGAGAAATTGTACATAGATCTATATTACTTAAGAGTATTTTACGAGATAACTTTGTGGCCACTAAAAAGGATCACTATAAAAGATATATATCTTAAAGTTTAAGAGTATTCACGATGAATGAGAAACCCTTTCTCATTCAACGGGAAGTAATCTGTAAAATCTTCAAGGTCCAACTACCTATCTGCATTCGTAAAGTAAGATTCTACATTATTTATTCGCCTACAGTTCAAGATCTTAGTAGTAGATCCCATTAAACTTTCGCCAAATGCCAAATTTTTCAACGACGTAATAATAGATATCGATGAAGTGATACGAAAGAGAAAGCTGAATATTATGATGTATAAATGAGATGCGTATTTTTGAGTATTTATGATTGTTTTTTTTCTGTCTTTTTTTTAAAGCATAAACTTTTAGTGAAATCTTCTACAAGTTTTATTCATTTGTATCCACAATCTTATATGTATGTAGAAAATGGGGTAGCGACAAAAGAGCGTTTATTATTACATTAATTACTATTTTATTATTATTATTGCTATAATTATTATTGCTCCCATATCTATTGATATTGTCAAGGTAGAGAAAATGAATACGTAACGAACCGAAACTTTTGTAGACTCGATCAATACTCGTTAGATCTGCCGAAAATAAACTTGTATTCACATCTTGTGTAATAAATAGTGTTATAAAATAATATATACATATATATTTACATAGCGTTAAGAGAGAATATCAATTTTAGCTTCTACTTGATATATTGTGTGTCTGTTTATTTTATTATATAAAACGCGCGGTAAATATAGGAAAGTTGGATTGTTCCTTTTGTAAGAAAGGCCACTTTCGAGGATTGATCCATTGTCACACTAATAATTAATTTAATAGATGCAATTAATAAATTTTCGTGATTTATTGAATTTTCCCATAAAAAAAGATAAGTTAAAAAAATAAATTGAAAAATATCATAAAACTCAAAAAAGGAAAGAAAAGAGAAAGAGAAATCTAGATGTATTATTCGAAAAAGATCTTGATTATTTAATGTTTTTAAGCCTGCAATTTTAATTGTATGTGCAATATTAATTATACGATTATCGATTGTATGATTGTCAAAGTATTTATATCAAGTGAGAGATGTGCATTTAAATATTAAGAAGATGTATAAAAAAAAAACCGAAAAATTCTCTCACTAATTATCTGGATATTTTTTGATGACGTATACAGACATCTAATATATATGTATAATTCAAGGGTATCATATAAAATATCAAACACGAAAGTTGAAGCCATAAATCTAATCTTTTTATCTTTATATGCATGTATTAATATAATATGTAATAAATTATTGCGTTGTGTAATATGCAAATGGTAAGACTTTTATGCATTCATAATCGAAAGTTTGCCGAAAGAATTGTAGTAAAGGTCACAGATTTAGTGTAACAGTGGAACAACCGTTATGTCATTTGTCATATTTACATCTTGTTGTTTTACTTCATTGAAATAGTCAATCTTTATAACCTGGATACAAAGTGTATCAAATATTTGTCGCTTAATTGTTTTTTTCAACTAAAGATGATTATATAATAAATAAGTACTGGTTTATAATATACATATGTATATATACAGCGCGTAAACGTTCAGAACGTGATTTTTTTTAATCCATAATAAATATATCGTTCCTACTATCCATCCATCAGCGTGCCAAAAGATTTTAAGAAAACATAATCAACAAGTAAAAGTGCATACAAGCAATATCGTGTCAATCTCTACATATTTTTAAATCGCAGAACAGCCATGTTATATTAGCGACATAAATCTACTTGGAGAGATATGGCTGATGAGACAATCAGTAGGTTTAAAAATTTGTGTAACACATTACACACAACTTGTATATTTTTTTATTATTAGCAAAATCATAATGTTTATTCTATAGAAATAAGCTCAAGTAAGACGTATGAAATATGTCACAATCTCGCGAGCGAAATCCTCATTCGAGATGGAGCGAGCCGTGCATTCATAGATATTCTTCCTTACATTCTACGCCAACATCAGATGAGGAAAAAATATCGCAAGCATATTCACCCCTTCTCACCGCGACGCATTCACATCTGGCTCAAGAGAAACTTACATCTGCTTGCTGCATTTGCTGCGAACAGTGCAACGGATCCAAGTCATCAAAGCGTTTAGCGGCTATTAATTATAAGGCATTTAATTTATACAAATACATTACACTTAACGTTACAAATAATAGAATCTAATCCTAGAATTTTGATAAAAGTACCTTTTAAACAGAAATCGCGACAATTTCAGGAAACTCTGCAAGTCTATTTGATAAGAACCCAAGTGGAAGAGACTGTGATGGACGATAAACAGGCGACCTTGATGCAGCATCTGAGCTTAATTAGCAATGTATTCGAGGCCGTCGTTCAATATACGCAGTCCTTACAAGTATCATACCTCGCCGCGAAACGAGTATTCGATATGAGTCACACCTTACTCGCATGTCCTTTTTCGAGTGCAAATTACACAGACAACGATTTCATATCGTATCGCAGACAGGTAATTTTAAGCGTGCTTAGAATTTTATATCTTTTCATATTTCAAAGTTATAATTAACGTTGATTTGTTAGGTATTAAGTACAAAGAGAGAGAAAGAAAAAATTTCTTTATTTTAATTATCAATTATCTAACTAAATTTTAGTAGTGGCTGGAAAACTACTTCATTATATTCAACTTTTAATGAGATTTTAAAAGTTTGCTTTTATATCTACTTTCGAAATAAAAGCGACTTATGTATCAAAGTTTAAGATATTAGCTTTTTCATCTTCAAATACAGAATACTATTGATCATTTTAGTTTATATTAAATTTCTCTCTTTGGATTGCATGATATTAATAAAAGAGAGAGCTGTCTTTTTTCAATCATCATTCAGATCGAGACCGAAGAAGAAAAAAGAATATCGAAATTGCGAGATTTGATGGAATGTTGTTCAAAAAACATTACCTTCCCTAAAGACATGTGTGTGCTGTTGGATGATCACAGGGACAGAAGGAAAGACTTTTTTCTCGCATCCGCGAATTTTAAAAATCTACTAGAAAATTCGAGACTATCTGTATCGCAGATGGAGAAGTTGCAACGACAGCACGATAGAATTTTGAAGGATTTCCAACAAAGCAGATTGCTCTTAGATAAGGAATTACCCAAGATTATTAACTTGTATTTATTCTATTTTGAATTATTCGTAACTATATAATTAGATGTAAATTAAAATATTAAAAAGAACTTTAACTAATATTAAAATAAAGACGATTGGAAGCTCTTCAACAATTCTTTCACAAGATTGCGGAATTATTTGGCGACGTAAACTATTATATGCACGCTGCGAATTTGCTTGAATTAATCTCAATAAATTTGCGTCAAATTGATCTAGATACAGGTAACAATATTTAAAAATATATATATATATATATATACAATTTAAAATATTCATAGAGAAAAAGGGAAAGTAAAATTGTAGATTTATATAAAATTGTTTATATATTTTTGTTTTTTTTATCATAATGAATATATATGGAATGCAAATAACTTTTTTCATTTATACATAATTTTTTTCAATAATTTTACAATACTTTTTATTTTGCGACATTTTTGAATTTGTTAAGATTGTCTTTTTCGTTGGTATTTTACTATCATGTTATTAATTACATGTTATTAATTACTATTTCTCCCTTTTAATCAAAATTTGTGTCATTTATTTAGGAAAAGTCGTGCTTCATGAGGAAGAAACGAGTGAAGAAATATGTCAAAAATGTAAAATGAATCGCGTGGATAAAAAATAATTTTAAGCACGATATTTTTGAAATATATTTTAGAATTATTGATTAATTAAAGAATCGAATTACGACTCTCAGAAATATGTCGGAATTATAGGCTTCGTGAAGCCTCACACTCGAAACTTAATCCTTCCATCTAACAATGGTAATAGTTTTATGACGTTTTTTTTAATACGCAAAAAAAACGATCTATGTAAATTCAGCTGAAATATCAAGAAACAGCAGAGTATGTTTTGTTTGATACTTTAGTTTGGAAATATTCAAATTTAATATAGTTTTATTGCGTATTTTTATATAGAATAACATTTAGCTTAAATATAAAATTAAATAAATTGTACAATAATAACATCTTTTCCAATATCACGATTCTTACGCATAAAACAAAAATTGGAGCTGAACAATCAATAAAAGAGTAACCGTATTAAGAATCTGGACAAAAATTCAATGTCAATTCCATCGTCGAAGAAAATGAAAAATAAAGGAAAAAAATACTGTTCCGAAAAAAAGTTCGTACTCGTACAATTGCATAAATAAATCACGTACAGCAAGATATAATAGTATAAAAGATAAACAGAGGAAAAACACAAGAGGATAGAAAACAATTATAGAACCCAGAGTACATAAAAAATTCTTACGAAGAAGACCAGTAAATTAAAATAAAAATTCGCGTATAACGCGAAATTAAAATATTCCATTCCCCGTTTCCACTCGTGCATGTCAAAGGGCGTTTTGATCCCTTTTTTAATATGCAACAAAACGATCTATATAAATTCAGCCGAAATATCAAGAACCAGCAGAGTTCTATTTTATACTTGAATGAAAAAAATACTCAAATTTAATATACTTAGCGCAGGAGAATAACATTCAATTCGAATCAAACCAATCGTACGATTAATAACATCCGTCTCCGACAGCAGGGCGCACCGTTCGTAGACGCGCCTCCGGCGTCGGTAAGGTAGGGAACGCGGCGATCGCAGCGCCGCGCCGTTACGTTCTCCGTGCCTCGTCCCCAGCGGGTGGCGGCCGCGCCTCCTCCTACTCGCCGATTTTAATCTCGTTAGCAGACACGTGCGCGCCCCCCGCGCCCTACGGTGCTGGTGATACGCAGGCAGCCAGCCACGAGCGAACCGAGAGCTGGCCGTGTCGCCGGGGCTTCGCCAATCTGGTTTGGTCTAACAGGATTCTCGGCTCGCGCGACGCTTCATAAAAGCTGCGCGCCGAACGGGCGCGGCGCGTATCGCAAGGAGGAGTTGCTCCGCTAGTGAGGTGTGGGCGCTCGTGCAGCAGCAGCAGCAGCAGCAGTAGCAGCAGCATCGGCCAACAGCGACGATAAAGATAGACAGAGAGAAAGTGTGTTCGTGAAAGACAGAGAGAGACGACGAGAGGTATATCGCGCGCATCGCGGTAAACTCTCTCTCTCGGCGATCCGACACGTCGTCGTCGTCGTCGTCATCGTCGTCGTATGCCGCGCTGGTCTCGTGGTGTCCTCGTGTCAAGTTTCCGTGCGACTCGGTGCGTCGGAGCAGCGGTAGCAGCGACGACAGCTTTTCGCGTGTGCCACTGGACGAGAGCGGGCGGGCAGAGGGCAGCGGGAGAGGCTCCGTCGCGCGAGCGAGAGCGAGAGCGAAACGGCGGGTGTGCGAGAGAGGGAGAGAGAGCGAGCAGCGTACTCGAGGGGAAGAGAGAAGAGGGAGACGGAGCGCCGGTGGGTTACCACACCCAACACCGCGCGAGCCGGGAGCCGATCGCCGAACGTCGCCGCTACGCCGCTCTCTCGGGAGCTCTCTCTAGCCGCGCCGTAGCCGTGCGTGTGGTACTAGGCGGGCGAGACGACGCGCCATCCGGCGTCATCCGGGACTCCCGAGGACGAGCCGAGTCCAGGGCGAGGGAGTATCCACCGCGCCGGGGCATCTTCTCCGCGGCGAGAAGAAACGATCGAGCCGAGAGGAAGTGTGCGATAGAGGGGTGGTGAAGAAGCGCGCGGCGAGAGAGAGAGAGAGAGAGCGCGAGAAGGAGAGAGACGGACGGACGGACAGACGGACCTCGCCCTCCGCGGTTACGGGACGTCGCGCCCGTGGGAAAGTCGAAACGTGCGCGGTGCTCTACATGTGTATTACGTGCGGGTGTGCGTGAGTAATCGCGAGAGAGACGGAGATAACACCCAGAGACATATATAAGCGAGGAGATCGCGCGCCTCGCCGAACTCGCACTCGGGACGAAACGTGCGTGCGCGCGAGTGCGAGCGGGACGAAGCGATACGAGGCGTGACGGGCGAGAGGACGAGAGAGAGAGAGAGAGAGAGGGAGGAAGAAATACAGCGGCGGAGCGGCCGCGCGAGCGAGCAGTAGAAGACAAGACGACGGACAGGCGGCGCGAGGGGCTCGTGTGCGTGCGCGTAGACGCGCGTTGATGCGTCGCTGGCGTCGTCGAGCCCCGCCAGGAGCAGCGGCGCTGACGCTGCGTAGACGCCGCCGTCGTTGAGGGGGAAACACGGGTGCGTCGCCGGGGACGTTTCCCCGTCGTCGCCGTCTTCGCCGCCGTCGCCGTCGTCGTCGCCGTCGTCGTCGTCGTCGTCGTGGTGACCGTCGTGCCGGTGATAGTGCTGGTGGTATCGATAGTGCTGGTGATAGTGGTGGTGGTGAGTCGGGAGTAAGTGAAACGCCGTCGTCGTCGACGACGTGACCACCGGTGGTGATAGTGGTAGCGGAGGCGTCGATAGGACCTCTGCTACTAGTAACGATAGGAGGGAGTCAAGAGTGAGAGAGAGAGAGAGAGCGAGAGACACCGTCAGAAGGAGAGAGAGGGAGAAGAAGACGGGGACCACGAGGACGACGACGAGACGTCGTCGTCGTCGTCGCTCGTTCGCCGTCGTTGCGGTGACGAGATAATACCCGTCTCCCGTCCACCGAGACGATCTACTTGAATTTGGAATCACGTTCGTCGTAAGAGAGAGAGAGAGAGACGGACAGACGGGCAGACAGATAGGAGCAGTAGCCGCAACGAAGGTCGCCGCCGGTCGGCGAGCAACGCTTTCTGTCACCGCGAATCGCTCGTGCACGCTCCTCTCTCCCTTCCTTCCTCCACCTCCTCCTCTTCCTCCTCCTCCTGTTTCTCGTCCACGAGAACCATCCCGGTACTCGTGCCTCTTGGTCGCGCCTCTGCTCTTCTCCGCCACCGCCTCCTCCTCCTTCTTGGCCGGCACCACCTCCTCCGTCAAAGGAGGATTCCGCTGTCCTGAGCCATGGCGTGCTGCCTGTCGGAAGAGGCGAAGGAACAGAAACGCATCAACCAGGAGATCGAGCGGCAATTGCGGAGGGACAAGCGGGATGCCAGGCGGGAGCTCAAGCTGTTGCTACTCGGTAAGTTTCCCAAGGAGAGAGATATACATGTACTTACGCGAGTCGAACGAAGCCGGCAAGGGTGGCCGGGGCTTAGCGAAGTATAAAGACGCTCTTATCTGGTTCGTTACTTTTCCTCGCGAGATAGAGACGAATGTCCCTCCCGTGAATTAACGCTAGAGCACAGCTACTCGGAAAATGACGCGAAATGATAGCCCGATCGAGCATCGAGATGGCCAACTCGTATCGTTGTTTGTCGGGTAAGGTAAAGTAATTTGCCACTTGACTTGCCTCCCCGCTATCCGTACAAGCCGAGCATTAGTCGGGAAGCCGGTAAAAGCAAAGAGGCCGAGTTACTCGTTCGCCTCTCGTGTCGAAGAAACTAATGAAATAATGCATGCCTTTGTTTTTATAAAAGGCGAGTGCATAATAGATGTCAAGCGTTAGAGCGGGATTTACATGAATCTGATGGAGAAATTAATCTAGCGCGAGTTACCTGCTTGCATTATTCCAACTACAAAGAAAGTAGGATAGATCTGCTTCTTTTTTTATAGAGAAATTTATCTCTTTTCTGTCTTTCATAGAAAAAAATAGTCTATATAATATAATTATGATGTAATAAAGTCTTAAAATGCTAATTTGCATAGACACATACGTAGAATTGATAGAAAAAAAAATAATAATAAGTGGAGGTGCAAGTATCGTTCGATTTGTCTACTGATTTCGTGTAAATCCCGGCGTCGAATGGAAAAGAGTTTTTATAAAATTCGACGAAAAATTTCACAAGGTACAAATTTAATCTTCCCTCTCGTCTCTTCTCAGGATTGTATACGGTACAGTTTATTTATAAATCGAATTTTCTATTCGGAGAGCGATAAGCCGAATAAGTAATTTTCGTACATTAATTTAATTTCCCACTTTCATCTTCTAATATTATACAGAGAAATGACGCAACATTTCGTTTCGAAATTTTTCACTTTACAAATTATTCGGTCTATTTTTGTCGCCAAAGATCCTTTACGCTCCTCCATTTCTCCCCTTCAAACGAACCGAATTATATTCGAGGAATCCGACGACAAAATCTCTCTAGCGACGTTTAAAACTCCGGGTTAATTAGATCGAGATATCGAATAGTCGCGCGATATACTTGTCGATAATATACGCACTTGCGGCGATTGTGCGTGGAATAATCGCGAGATTATGAAAACTCGTTTAGCGGGCATGGCACGAGTGTCAATTGAATCTCGCGCGGGAGAGAGCGGCGATTATTAATTCCATCATCGGCCGGTCGCATTTTATTCCCAGTGTCGGCGATTACATACCTCGATTGACCCTACGTGCTCTCCTTGAGAGGAGAGTCGCTCCGCTCGTTTCATTCATGCGCGCATCTCGCGAGCGGCCGCGTGTTGCCGGCCGACGCCGACGCCGACGCCGGCGCCGCCCAGGAGACGACGACATCCGCGCGTCACGTACGTTCTCGTCTTGTGCACGAGGTCGATCGGCGCGGCCGGCGTGCGCTTGACAGCTCTCTCTCTTTCTCTCTCTTTCTCTGTCTCTGTCTGTCTCTGTCTCTTCTCTCTCGACCGGCCGCCGCTCCGACGATATCGCCGTCGATATACAGGGTGCTCCCGAATATCTGGTGCCTTTGAATTATTCCTCGATCGGATCTCGGACTTTTTTCCCCCAACAAAAATTTCATTGTAAAATTCGAAGGACTTGCAAGACTTACTTTAAACATATGTAAAGCGCGAATTTTATTGATATTTTAATTTAGAGCGGTACAAGGCTTGTGTGACATCTCGAAAAGCTTCTCGGTCCCGTTGTCTGATGTGTCAAGTTTGAGCTTATCTTGACGACGGATCGGTAACACGAGCGCCAGGACTCGGCTCGGGCTCTTCTTTTGTGTTGCGCCGACTCTACGTATTAAATTCGCCCTGTTTATGATCTGACGACAAGTCGTGTGGTTGTTAAGAACATTGTTTCCTCCGGAATATTCTTTGTAGTTTTACTATTCACATATACGTGCTACTTACCTTTTCCGCAAGATGAAATCCTAGCTGGGCGCATGTGCTCGAGATGTTTTCTTATCAGATTTACAATCTCGTGAGTTTATCGTCTCGATCTCGAATGACTAACACCTTTTTTCGAGGTAAAACTCCAGTAAAATTTATCAATAATTCATTATATTCTCCTCTTTGTATCGTGCAAATATTGTATTATATTATCCTCTTTGTATCGTGCAAACATTGTATTTTATTTAAAAATGACAAATATATACGGTTAAATAATATTAAATAATAATATAATATTAAAAAATGGAATATACAAGAATGGAATTTACAAGATTGCACGCAAATTTCTTCCCTCTAAAATTGCATAATAATTTTATTTATAATTTTCTTATTAATATTTTATTTTATTTTTTCATAAAAGACAAAATTAAATTTTCTTGTCTTGAAATATCGGATTAATTTTTTACGTTACATTAGATTTGTGAAAAATTAAAACACTCGCAAAATAGATCAACATGTTCAAAATTAATCAGGCGTCTCTTACAAGTCACTTTTACATGCGGTTGGATAAGTTATTGATTTGTTGATTAATTTCGCGATCGTATAATGAGTATCTCATTATCGATAATTGTCATTATTCGTTCATTAACCTATTATCTAATCATGCATCTTTTCGGAGATAATAACCCTTGAAATAGAAAATCGCCTCTTAGGTTGTATTTATCGCTTTTTGATGCTCATTATCAAACTTTTGTTTTGTAAATTCATAAATTTTTAAATCTATAACAGTCTAGGCGTGGATGTTTGATGCAAAAATAATTAATCGTCGTTGTCGTCGTGAGATATATTTCACAAGTTGTTCGTACGCAGAATATTTTAGAGTTTTCGATCTTATTTTCAGTATTAGATGGTTTGAAAATTTAATTTTCTTACAAAATTGCTCAAGAAAAATTATATTACTACAATTTTTTTACATTCAAAATGAGATATAGAATGTTTTAATAATTATTATTAATTTTTTTAAATTTGTTATATATGAAATAAAAATTCGTTAAAACTAATTGAGAAGCACAATTTTCTGCTCTACGTAAATACATGCATTTTGTACATCGCACCGAGACTTGATTCCAAAATTTTTTAATTTCCAACATCGAGATCTGCGTAATTTTGTAATTACCTCGTCATTAGAGCAATCATTAATTTTCCAATTTACTCACTATCATCATAATTGAAAGAACGTTTGGTGGTACTCAAAATGAGAGAGAAAGAGAGAGGGAAGGCATTCTGTATATTGCAAATTATATTCTAAATCAATTTTTTCTATTTAAATTAATTATAAATTAATATAGCAACCGTATTTTAATATCTTCCAATATTTGATTACTGCTTGTATGAACGTCCACGAGATAAATCGTGTACCATTATAAATAATTACAAATTGATGCGTTTGGAAAATTCGCATTCGCACTTGTCAAATTCAATTTTAGAAATAAAGGGTTCAATTAGAACGCGGCGGTCGCCGATTCAGCGACCTTTCTCGCGTCCGGTCAAGCTGTCGAACTGCAGAAACGAGCCTGTCGAGTCGGCGAAATTGTAAATTGCGAGCCAGCAGCGATTCAATTTCGACGATTGCTCGCGGCGTCTGCTCGAATCGCGGCCACAACCGTACACACGTTCGTGCATATACATATATATACATACATACGTAACACACGCAGAACGCACGCAGCTTGCGAAACAATAATTGGCGAGTTTGGAAGAACAATTCGCGCGATGCCTGTCGCATTTTGTTAATTATCGAGGATAGTCGCGTTTCGAAAACGAATTCGTCCCATGGTCGTTCTTCCTCGTGGAATGCGTCTGCTAAATGCGTGTCAACTAACACGCAAAATACATACGTTGGTCGCAAAATACGTGATCCTATGACGAATTTTTTATCGCGTGATTGGGTGCATCTTCGCGCTTCGTGATTCTATGAGAATTTATAAAATAACTTGTTACGTCTCTCTCGAGATAGTTCTAATAATAACACGTTAATTAATCTCATCGTTATTTTTTTTTATTTTGAAAGAAATATACTTGTTTCTCAGATATTTGCCTCGCTTTATCTTGAAATTATTTTTAGTATTTAATCATTTTCTTGCTTATGAATAAGGCTTCTTACTTTAATGAATAAGGCTTTTAAAGGATTTTTTGAAGCAATTCTTGGATTTAAAATAAGTAAAATATCATGCATAGCATTAAAATTTAAAATATTTGCTTTGCAAATAGCATGAAATGTTTATTTTTTATTTAACGTTAAGACGGAAAATTTTATCTTAAAATAGCAAATAATATAAAATAGCAAATAACATGAAATAATTTAAAATACAATTTTTTCGTAAGTTATGAGAACAAATAATCGTTTTTATTTAATTTTTTTCTTTTTTTTTAAGAGATTTTGAAATAAAAATTTAATTTTCAGTTTTATTATCAATATATCCAATATCGAAAACAAAAAAAGTTATAGACGATTTTTTTATATGTATTTAGATTTTTTTATACTTTTTGATAAATTTTTTCGTTTCAAAATTAAATAAGGAATTCTCAATATTTTATACGGTTATGAGAATACATATTTATATGAACAATTATGAAACGGTTTAAAAGAATTATACTCTACGATTAGAACAATTTCTTTTAATTATGAACAGGTGGAGCATTTTATAGTTTTTATTTATTCAGCCAGCAATCTTTATCTAAAGTTGATTCAGTTGTGCCATAAATGTGACTCAAGTCTATTGCACCATCTCTCATTTCTGAAATAATTCCAGCGCACCTAGCACGTTTGTCTTTCCGTTATCGAGAAGTAACGGAGAAATCGCAGACAGAAATATCATAAGAAAGAGCGCGAGACAGAGAAACTGAGAGCGAGAAAGAGAAAGAGAATGCGTTAGGCTCTTTCGGACTCTGTTCTTCCGGCCACGGGAACGTGAACAACGTGTGATAAGTGGTATAATTTGTTGATCG